GCACTCCAGTGACTGGATGCTCTGGATAAGAGATGCTGGTGCTTCCTACAGCTCTTCCTGACAGAGGGTCCAGCATGTTACTACTCAGGAAGCCCCAGCTAACTTCAGTTGCTGACCCCTAAAGCTCTGACTCTGTCCTGCAGCTCCAGCTCGTGCACAGTTGTGATGAGAGATGCTCTGTTCAGGTGATTTCAATTACAGTTACTGAACACTGCAGCTTCTTATAGCTTTGGCTTGTTTTCAGTTGAAGGTGATTTCAAGCCCAGCTTGTTGAAACTCCAGCTTTTGTGTGGCAGTTCTGGCTTCCTACTGCTCCAGCTGATGGACATAGGCTTATTTTGATTTTCAGCTCCTTCCAGCTCCACTTTGTTGAAGCTCTACTTCCAGTACTGGATGCTCAAAAAAAGAGTTGCTCATACTTCTTCCAGTACCTGCTGATGATGGACATTTTCCAGCATTTTACTGTTCAAGTTATTTGAAGTCATAGGTTAGTTCAGCTCCTGCCTCTTGAAACTCCAGCTCTATACAGTGCCACTGGCCAGAAGAGTGGGAGCACTGGTGAGACAATGTGGTTTTGGGAGGGCACAGGTACTTCCATTGGGAAATCAAGAGCTCTCAACCCCACACACCCACTGCCTTCCCAAAAAGGCTGCCATGGGGCTCCTGGGAATCAGGAGAAACCAGGGTCCAGGTTTCTAGTGACTCATGCAGGCACTCAATTCATTTAATGGAATATAAACGCCAGGTCAGCACACCATCGACCCCATGATTTCATCACAAGCTCTTTGTCAGCTCTGGCTGCAAATATGTGCTCTGTGTCCATGGGCAGGCGAGAGCAACGTCATCTTTTAGAGCTGTCAATTCCCTTGGATAGAGAAGATAAAAGCTCTTTTTTGATGGCCTGCCACACAGTTGTCATCTCCTGCCCAAAAGCTTGTTTGGGTTTGGGTTTGTTCTAGGCCAGTTCCTGCAGAAAATACAGTTCTGTGCTTGCTGGCCAGCCAGAACTGGAGGCAGAGGGAGATGTGTGGAGGATGGCCACGTGTTTCCAGCCAGCAGCAAACACAAAGCCCAGTCAGGGTGCAATGGCTGAGCAGACATTGCAGGAGCCATGGCATGCATGATGGGCACCTGATCAGTTCATGCATGAGCACACAATAATTTTATGCATGAACAGCCCATCATTGCATACACAATGCCCTAAAACTTCATGCATTAGTACCCAATTGGCTCATGCATGTGTGCCCAATTTATTTGTACTTTAGCTTCCAATCACTTCATGCACAAGCACTCAATCTATTGACAAACGAGCCTCCAGACAGCTCATGTGAGCACCCAATTAATCCATGGCCCAGTGCTCAATCAGCTCACACAGGAGCAGCTCTTTCTCATGCACCCACAGCACATGCATGAGTGCTGTGCTGGGCAGAAATTGCAGGGTTCAGGTCAGCGATGCCATATTCCCACCCTATGGCATTTCTTGGTGAAGGTACTTCTCCACTGAAAATTGGCTCTTTTCAGGAGCATCAGAACTACCTTCAAGGTCTCCATGTCCCCAGAGGTGCACAAAGAACCCTCCTCTTCCCCCAGAGCACTGAAGAGCTGAGAAGTACGGTCTAGCAGGGGTCAACACATCTGCCCAGCCCTGGGAAGAGGCAGAGTGTCTTACCCTGCCCCTGTGCCCAGCACCTGACTTTGCCTGTCCGAGTTCAAGCATTGTCCTCATCTCTGCCTTTGCTTTCTTCAAGGGTTGTACCAGGGTCACACAATTTCTCACTATGAGATAGAAGAACTTAGTTTTTCCTTACTAAGAAGGTCAGACTGAGCTACAGAGGGAAGTCACTTTTTGAAGGTTATTTGGTTGCAAATCTCTAGCCACAAGCCTACACTGCTTTCTAAGAAAATAAGGATATTTTCTCAAAATGTTTTGCTACTCAGTCACAAACCCACAGCTTTAAGAGAGAACTGATTGCAACTCTTAGCAAGGCATAAATTTCAATGATCATCTATGAGAAAACCATCCACAGAACAAAAACTTGGAAATAACAGTTCACAGGTCTTTTGCAGCACATACATTTGTATGAGTACATTATCACCTGGCTGATCCAGCGTGGGGATAATGGGACTAGGATCATGGAATTAGAAGGTAGGGAAGCCAAGCTGCTGGGATCACTGACTGAGACCATGAGCCTGACCAAAACATGCCAGTGTATGTAACACTGAAGCCCTCCCATTCCTCCAGCAAGGAAAAATACAAATTCTATCTCGATGTACAAAGGCTGGAAGGACTACGTTACCTTATAGAAGATGTGTGGGGAACCTTTCCAACTCTAATTCCAAGCACAAAGTTTACAAGTACTTAAGTGATAAGAAATTTGAAGTGAAAACTAGCTCTGGGCTTCCAGAGATGTAGCACAGAGCAGTGACAATCCCAGCTCAGGTACCCTTTTGCAGCAAGGCAGCACGATGGGAGGCCATCATCTGCCAAAGGAACTCCTGG